TTAAAGCGTCTGCCTCTAATGTGGGAGACCCGGGTTCTATCCCTGGGTTGGGAAGATCCCCTGGAGAAGGAAATGGCAACCCACTCCAGTATTCTTGCCTGGAGAATCCAATGGTCGGAGGAGCCTGGTAGGCTACAGTCCACAGGGTTGCAAAGAGTTGGACACGACTGAGCGACTTCACTTTCATGGAAGAACCTCCTGCCTAACATATACCAAACTTCCAGACTCCCAGAAAGAAAGCGGGTGTTCAGCATACACCACATTGTGCCCGGGTGCAGTAAACCACCCTTACCCATCAGAGAATGGTGAGAACACTCACTAAACTCAAGTTCCCAGATACCAGCCAAGGGCCAAATGTGTGAGCAGGGCCTTTCTAGGGATAGAAGTCTCAGGCCCACTGTGTTAACTCTGTTCTGTGCAGGTCTACACGGAGGAGTGCAATTGCTAGGTCACATGATACTCTGTATTTAACTTTTTATGCTAAACTGTTTTCCAAAGCAATTGCAGCCATTTTCATTTCCACCAGCAATTGATGAGGGTTCCAATTTCTTCACAGCCTGGCCAACACTTGTTATTGTCCATCTTGTTGATTACAGCCATCCTAGTGGAACTGATAGGTTTTTAAGTTGGTGAGTTGCAAGCATTTAGAACCGAAAAAGGGGCACCCATAGGGGCCAAAATGGGTTCTCTAAGAGCAGATCATACCAGTCTAACCCCTGATTTCTCTTTAAAAGAAAAAAAACCATCTATTTTCTCTGTACCGGGACAGAGTGTTTTTTGTATTTCAGCCCTGTCCTTCACAATATCTTGGAACACAAAATGGAGACACGGAGCTTGGACTGATTGTCTGGCAGATTCCTCCGGTGTTGACAGATGACATTCGGAGAGCAGGGCTGGAGTCAGGTGAAGGGCCCCTGCTGCTGTTTCCCGCTTCTGTGTTCCGCCCAGCCGTTGAATATTTCTGTCCAAAACTTGGGGGAGACGCAGATGGCAGAGCCATCAAAGCAAGCAAAATACCCAAAACAGGCAGACACACACACACTGAGTGATAAGATCTGGTTCCAGAAAGATCCTGACAGCACGGAATGGTATGCAGAGTCCAACGACATGCAGTTATTAAGGACAAATGGCAAATCCACATCCACAAGGTCTGGTCCAGATGTAACCAGGGAGAGTTTGCACTTTGGTTTCTGTTTGTTACCAAAAACCAACCTTTACAAATGGGTAATAAAGTCTGGGCACCCTGGGAAAACGTTACGATCTCTGCCTGCAGTTTCAGGGGATTCAGAGCTCTGCCATCAGGGGAACTGTTGAAGGAGCTGGTCTGTTCCGTGGCCAGTAGGCAGCCTACAGTAGCTTGAGAGTTGGCTCCTCCTGCACGAAGATCTGTGGTGGGAGCATATGAGCTGTCTTCCACATGGCCCGCAGGGAAAAGCAGATTTGGATTGATTAAGAACTTCGTGAAACTCCGCAGTTGAATGAGCTGCCTGGTAAGATGGTGAGCACCCCATCACTCACGGTGTTCAAAGAGAGATTACTTAGCCTTTTATTAAGGAACTTGCATGGGGCAAGAGGTGGCCAGGTCACCTTTCAGGCCTTAGAACTGCCTAAACTGGAAGCCAGGGACAGTCCATCTCTAAAGCTAAGCCCAGGGGTTTCCCAAGGCACACAGCACCAGTTTCAGGGTCATCCTCGTGTCCTCACGATCTTACTTGTCCATCGGGACATTTGGGTGCCCGTGAAGCTCCCCTTGGGGCTTCCCTGGCGGCTCACATGGTAAAGAATCCACCTGCAGTGTGGGAGGCCTGGGTTCGATCCCTGGGTTGGGAAGATCCCCTGGAGGACGGCATGGCAACCCACTCCAGTATTCTTACCTGGAGAACCCCATGGACAGAGGAGCCTGGCGGGCTGCCATCCATGGGGTCGCAAAGAGTTGGACACATCTGAGCAACCAAGCCTAGCACGCACCCAGAAGCTCCGCTTGAGACACATGCCTTCTTCTGAGCGCTTCTGTTACTCAGAAGACACACCTTCTTTCAAATTTCCACTGAGACTTGAAAGTAGATAAGCAGTTGGCAGGGAAGTGGAGGGAGGGGGCTGGGGAGCACTCCCATAATGACTGCACCCCAAACTGTGGCAAGCACAGGATAGGCCGCCTGGTCGGTTAGGGCGGGTGGGGAAGGGAAGTAAAGACTGCCTGGCTGTGACCTTTCCCTATCACCCCTGCTCATCCAGCGCCTGGGCTGGCGACCGGAGGTACAGACTCTAGGCTGAGCTTTCAAGGGTCTGTGTGCGCTTGGGCATGTGTGTGTGTGTGACCGAGCAGCTCTGATTGCCTTCCAAATCCTGTCCCAGTGACGCAGGGATTGTGTGTGCCTTCCTTCCCCTCCGTTGATGGAGAGGACTGTGAGAACGGGCCATGATCCAAACATCCCCACGTCTCTGCAGTGACAGCTCCTTTGAGAGCCTGTCGATACCTACGGTTCTCTTAATTACTCCTGCACACCCACTTCCCTCTCTCTCTCTCTAGTAGGCGGGGCTTGGGGTGGGGCTCGGCCCTCCCCCTCCCGACCTCCGCTCCTGCTATCCTGCTGCCATTTATGTTGGAACAGCCTCCTGCTGCTCCCCTACCAGCCACCTCCCCCACGACTTAATTGAGGGCACCCCCCGCCCCCGACCCAGAATAAGAGAGCCTGAGGGAGGAGGCTGGTCTCCCTTAAGCGCTCATACCCAGCAATTAGTTTCCCTTATTGCCAATTCAAGATAAGTAGAAAATAACAGAGGAATGGAACCAGGACCCAAAGCCTGTGCCAAGCACTTGGCATGCATTACCATGACATTCATATGTGTGTCTCACGGGAAGCCACAGATCAGGCCAAGCGCAGAGGTGGGATTTGTCGGCCCGGGAGTTGAAAGGGCCGTACCCACCACCAGTCCTGCTGACTGTGCCTCCCTGACCACCTTCCATCTCGGAGCCTCAGTTTCGTCATCCCTGAGGTGGAGAGAGAATACTAGATTGTGCTAGTATCATGACTTCATGGAGAGCGCAGGTCATGGCCCTGGCCGGTCTGCCCTCTGGGTCTGTGTTTGGGCCCCAGTGATGGGCGTGGCAGTAGTCACTGCCTAGGTGTGTCTGGAAGACATAGCTTGGCACCAGGGGTGGCCAATCATGGCGAGTGCAGGTGGCATTGTCCAGAAAGACAGCTGAAGCAGGAAGGTGGGCCGGGAGACCGAAGGAGAAAAGCAGAAGGGTGCCAGGCAGCGCCTGGAAGTGAGCTGAGAAGTAGAAATAAACACACACAGTAGACCAGTGGTTATCAGGTGTGGCCCATGGACCATGGGGAGCGTCTTAGCCAAAAATCTCAGGTCCCATCCCAGACCTGCTGGATCAGAAACTCAAGAATGGGGCCCAACAGCCTGTTTTAACAAGCTCCCCAGGTGGCGCAGATGCGGTCCAAGTCTGAGAACTAATAAGGCGGATGAGAGGGTGGATGGACGAGGCTTGGAGAGCCCAATGGGTGTTTTGAAGACTGAGCAGGGAGGAGGACCTGTGTTTATTGATCACTTGTGTGTCAGGTTGAAAACTGGGCATTTCCAGCTACTTGCTTTCATTTAAGCCTTTCAGGATTGTGGCAGAGCAGGCCTTGTTATTCCTACCTCAGAGATGAGGCAGCTGAGGCTTAGAGACTTTAAGTCGCTTTCCAAAATCAAAGAGATAGTGGCAGAGAGAGAATTAGAACCCAGGCCTCCCTGGCCCGGAAGCCTGAGTTCCTTCCACTAGTCCAGGCTGCCTCCCACCTACCTGTCCCTCAGGAGTGCCTCCACTGCCTGGCCTGGCCCCTTCTTCAACCCCGTGGTCACCCCAGAGCCTGCGCAGCTGTCCACCTTCTTCAGCCTGCCATCAAAGACAAAAGGCAGACCTGGGGAGGGGTGGGGTAGCATGGCTGGGGACTAACTGTCACCTTGCATCCCTCCAGCCTCCAGTGCTAAGTGCAGTTAGGGGACAAAGGTGCTTCTGTGATGCTCCCATGGGGCTGACATAATTGACCTAATGGTGGCGCTCGTGGTAAAGAAGGCTCCTGCCAATGCAGGAGATGTAAGAGATGCGGATTCGATCCCTGGGTCAGGAAGATCCCCCGGAGAAAGGAATGGCAACCCACTCCAGTGTTCTTGCCTGGAAAATCCCATGGACAGAGGAGCCTGGTGGGCTACAGTCCACAGGGTCGCAAAGAGTCGGTCATGACTGAAGTGACTTAGCACAGTAAGAACTCATGCGCGCACTGGGAGACAAGGCTGACAGATACTCATCGCCAAGCCCTGTGCAGGGTGCTTTGGGGAAACTGCGGCAAAGAAAGTATAGTTTAATGGTCCAGAACCAGTGAAGCAAAAACTAAGTGACCCGCTGGGGTGCTTGGAGGCCTGGGACAGACAAGCCAAGTGTGGGAGGAGTTCAAGGAGACTCCTGCAGTGACTTCAGGGAACAGACGTAAGACTTCGGGGCCAGAGGGCATGAGCTCAGGGCCTGGCATCCTCACTGACTCACTGGGTAACCCCAGGCAGGTTACCTCCTGTCTTGACCTGTCTCCTTATCTACAAAAGGGGAGTTAATCCCTCCCACAGGGGATGGTTCTGTTAGATTCTAACAGACATCCCTTGGGGAGTTTCATTTCCTTCCCTTCAAAGGGTCACTTTTAAGTCCAAGAAGGCTTCACGGAGGAGGTGTCTTTCCACGGTGGCACTCACATCTGGATGGCCAGAATGTACTTAGTATCGTTTGTTGTCTTCTCTGCGGAATCTGTGGGTAGACGCAGGATGCATGGGGTGGTCTGAGGAGAATGGTCTTCCAGGTGTAACTATGAAAATGATGGTGAGAGGAAGTTGTCTTTCTCAGTGTGGAAGATTGTTTTCGTAATGTGGTTTCAAATCCCGCTCGCTGCAGGGTCGAGGCCGCGCTGCCGCAACTCTGCACGCTCAGGCTCTGTTTCTACTCTTCCTTGCAGATGATGCAGTTCGCCTGGCAGAGCTACAAGCGCTACGCGATGGGGAAAAACGAGCTCCGGCCCCTCACCAGAGACGGCTACGAGGGCAACATGTTCGGTGAGCTGACCTCGGGAGACCCCTTGCCCCTGGGGGCCGAGCAGTGTCCCCGCTCGGGAACAGTTTTATTGTTGGCATTTTGCCTCCTGAGCGGTGTCCCTCTTTCTCCAGACCTGGAGGCTCCTAAGTGTGAGTTCCTTTGGGGTTGTCTAGGTTGCTGAGCTTCTAGGTTTGAGGAAAACCCACATGCTTCTCCCTCACGTCACACTCTTCTTTAGATGCACCACCTGTTGTTAATTTGCAAAGCAGACAGACTTGGAAATGTGAGTGGGGACAGTGAGTGATGGACACCTATTTCCACAGGGAAGGCGTGCCGATCGGAAAGACACAGAGGATGGGGTTTAAATCCGCTCCTTCAAGCGGCTATAAAATGATCTGGGGTGTTTGCCTAGAGAAACCAGACATGCCTCTGATAAACTGGGCATGCACGCAGCCTTGAGGGTCTTGGGGGTGGATCTGTCGCCAGCCGGCTTGCTGAACACACAGTCACGTTAGGGAACCCCACGGGTGCCGCCGCGTGTTGGCAGCTTGAGTTTGACCAGCAGCCTCACTGCCCGACCTCTCTGCCCTCTGCTGAGATCCTCCTCACCCAGAGCCTCGAACGCCCCTCTCAGCTGGAGAGTCTGCAGAGTGCCTCATTGTGGGCACGGCTTCAGGTTTCAAAAGTAATTCCTGGACAAACTGCCAGCTCCCTTCTCTGCAGGCCTTTCAAGTGAGAAGGTGCTGGAGGCACCGGGCTTTCTCCTTCCCTGAGCTGCTGCTGCTGCTAAGTCACTTCAGTCGTGTCCGACTCTGTGCGACCACATAGACAGCAGCCCACCAGGTTCCGCCTCCCTGGGATGACAGGAGCTATTTGGGTGGGGCAGGGCTGGAGACAGAAATTCCTCGCCTGTATTTCCCACTCCTTAGAAGCACAGACTCCTGATGCCAAGAACCAAAGACCTAAGTCAGATGAAATTCTCCAGAAAAGTTTCAAAAGCAGGTTTACAAAGAAAAGCCTCCCATGCGTATTTCTGTTATGTGAAAAGAGACTCAGGATCTACGCCAGGCAGCATCCTGACCCTTCTGGCTGTTCAGACAGTTTACTTCCCTTCGGCAGGAGGGTGTGATTTGGGGTGACTGTTGCTTTTTTCCCCCTAATTATGATAGGCATGTAGGGGATAAGGGAAAGTATCGAAAGTGTAAAGCTGGCAAAAAATAACTCATTCTACCACACAGATACAGCCTCTGTGGACATCTTGGAGTTGTTGTTCAGTTGCTCATTTGTTTCTGACTTTCTGACCCCATGAACTGCAGCACACCAGGCTTTCCTGTCCATCACCAACACCCAGAGCTTGCTCAAATTCATATCCATCGAGTCAGTGATGCCATCCAACCATCTCATCCTCTCTTGTCCCCTTCTCTTCCTGCCTTCAGTCTTTCCCAGCATCAGGGTCTTTTCCAATGAGTCGGCTCTTCACATCAGGTGGCCAAAGTATTGGAGCTTCAGCTTCAGCATCGGTCCTTCCAATGAATATTCAGGATTGAATTCCTTTAGGATTGACTGGTTTGATCTCCTTGTAGTCCAAGGGACTCTCAAGAGTCTTCTCCAACACCACAGTTCAAAAGCATCAGTTCTTTGGCACTCAGCCTTCTTTATGGTCCAACCCTCACACCCATACATGACCACTGGAAAAACCATAGCTTTGACTAGATGGACCTTTGTTGGCAAAGTGATGTCTCTGCTTTTTAACATGCTGTGGCTTATTTCCTTTCAATATTTTCTTCAGTATTCTCTTCCCTCTTCTCTATATAATATTATGTTCCTTCTTTTTTTAACTTAATGTTACATCATGTGTTTCCTTAACTCATTTAAAATTTTTCATAAAGAATATTTTTAATGGGGAGACTTCTCTGGCCGTCCAGTGGATAAGACTCTGTGCTTCCATGGCAGGGGACACAGGTTTGATCTCTGGCTGGGGAGCTAAGCTATCCTGCATGCCATGTAGTATGGCCAAAAAAAAAAAAAGAATATTTTTATTGGATACAGTTATTGCATTGACATGCCATAATTCATTTAACCATTCCACTAATGTTGGACAAATAAATATTGTTTCCAATTTTTCACCAATAGAAATAGCACATCATTACCATCTTTGTGCACAAAATGTTGTCTTAGGACAGGTTTGGAGAGAGGACTCCTGAGTTGGAAGGAGGAAGGCAGATGTTTCTTTAACCTCAAATATGGAATGTGTGGATTACAGTTTCGGAGGCTCACTGCCTTCCCTGCCCAGATCATGGACCTTCCCCAGCACCCACGTCAGCCCTGGGAAAGGTGGCTAGTGTGGCTCTCATCAGAGCTCTTAGAGCTTTGGTTACTAGTGTCGTTGAGGGAGGTAATCCTCACCACTCCACAGTGTGCAGATATTCTGGAAATTGGTGGAGGTGGACGGGAGGCTGTTGATCTCTGAAACTGCAGAGATGGGCATAGCTACTCCTATGAGCACTCACGGGGATAGTGGGAGCACCATGGGGAACACTACTGAGAGCAACTGGGCTGAACCAAGTCCCATTTTATGAAATTGCTCAGGGCCTGTGATGTACATTTCCACCCTCCAACCTCTTCCCCATCACGGAGCCTGAAGGAGAGAGGGCAGCCTAGAACAATGCAAAGAAGGCTGGATCTTAAACCAGGAAACCCGGGTGCCAGTCCTCACTCTGCCCTGAACTGTCTTGTGTGTCCAAGTCCGAGTCACTTGCCCTCTCTGGGCCCCTGTTCACTCGTCTTTCACACTCGGGTTGCTATGAGAGAATGCAGGAACATGCAAAGGGCCAAGTATACAGGAGTGATTTAAGATTTCCACTGTAATAAATGTGGTTGGCAGTTGCCCAGGTGAGCCCATGGAGGGGAGGCTTAGGTTCCCTGTCTCCCACGAGCAGCCTTGGCAAGGCCCTGGGTGCCCCATCACCCCATGCCTGCAGCAGTCCTGGCGGTGAAGCGAGGCCTGCCTTCTGCAGCCAGCAGTTGAGCTGCAGTGGGCGGCTGTCTCCTGGGGAAGGAGGACATGCGGGGCCCCAGGCACTGGGCAAGGAGAAGCTCGTCTTGGTTTCTTGCTCTTTTACTCAGCAGCTGCTTGTTTAGCGCCACGTCTGGTGCTAACTGCTGGGGACACAGGGGTAAATGGTACAGCGAAAACTCCACCAGCTCTGCCAAGATGTACACCGGGAACCCTTCCTTGGGGCCCCTCTGGGGTCGTCTAGGTGCTCTCAGAATGAGGGAGAACTAGAAGGGATCAACAGTCCTTCTCTGGCTTGTGGTTCTGGGCCCCTGGGGCCCAGCAAGTTCAGGTTCCTATCTGAGTGACCCTGGGCAAGACATTTCTCTTTGAGCCTGAGTTTTGTGTAAAGTGGAACTAATGAAAACATTACCCCAGGGGCTTCTCCAGTGGTCCAATGGTTAAGAATCTGGCTGCCAGTGCAGGGGACGTGGGTTCGATCCTTAGTCTGGGAAGATCCCACATGCCACGGAGCACCTGAGCCCATGTGCCTCCTGAGGCCGCACTGTAGAGCCCGTGAGCCCCGCTACTGAAGCCGCACACCTAGAGCCCATGCTTTGAAACAGGAGATGCCCCTGCTCTCCGCAACTAGGGAAAGCCTGTGTGCGGCAGTGAAGGCCCAGCACAACCCCCCCACCCCCCAAAAAAAGGTAAATAAATCTTTTTTAAAAAAAAGGAAAATATTACCCCAGCCCAGCCCAGGGCTTCCCAACAGAACTGTCTTATTAGGTGGTAGTTATGCTTATCATTGCCACAGATGGATCTGATGATACAGAGGCTTATGGGAACCCCCCCAGAGGAGGAGGGTTTCGGGGCATTTGAGGAGCCTGGAGGAGGTTCTAGTTTGGATTGGACCCACGAGGGACTTGGAAGCCAGACTGCTCTAGAAGGTAGGAGATGACCTGGCCTGAATTAAGCCGCTTGTCATAGCACTGCTGCTTTTGCTGGACTCACATGGGCTTATGGGTGGCATCATTCCCGGGCTCTGGCAGCCTCTGTCATCAGTCACCTCACTGGAAGCTGAGCCCCGCAGGGCTTGGTCAGCTGTCAGCCGTGCCCACCCTGCTCTGCCCAGCTGGCTGGATGTTTGGGGTCCCTGAGCTGCATACTGGTGCGTATCAGTCTGGCGTGGGCTCTGACAGCCTCCTCCCCAGGCCTGCAGATCCAGGAGAGCTGCATACGGGGAGGAGTAATGGGTTCACGCTGGTCCCTGGCTCTGCAGGATTTACAGGGGCTGCAGCGAGGACATCGGACGCGGAGCCTGGGCGCCGCATGGGGCGGTTCACCTAACGGAATTTCCCCTCCTTGCTGCCCGGGTGTCCCTCCCTGAATGTGTTCTCACTTGGAGAGCCAGACCTCTGGGTGAGGTACCATTCCAGCTAGCTTTTGTGTCCTGGGCAAGTGGCTTTCAATTCACCGCAGTCCTGCTCTGCAGGTCCTGCCAGAAAATGCCCTCAAGACCCTAGTGCTAGCTGCCAGCAGGGAGGACACGGCCTGTACCTCACAGACACAGCCGGCACGCAGTAGCGATGCTCTCGTCGCTGTGAAGTCATAGAGGCGAGCCCGCCACTTGAAGAACGTATTCGAGGAGGGGAGTGTAGAGGAACCTGCCATGAAGCCGCTGCTGGGGATGCTATAAAGTATAGCGGCTCGCTCAGCACCCAGAGGCCCAGCCTCCTTACCTGTAATAGGGGCTGCCTCTAGACCCTGCGGCAATATTAAACAAGTCAGCTGAAGAATACGGACTCTGAAACCAGACGGCTTGGGCTGGCATGCTCCCCTGCCACTTCCCAGCTGTGTGACCTTAGGCAAGTTTCTTAACCTTTCTGGGCCTCAGTTTCCAGCTATGACGTGGGGACAGTCATGTCTACTCACAGGATTGTTTTGGGAACTGAATGAGTTAATACACGAGAGGTGCTCGTATCCATGCCTGGCACGTGAAGCCTCCGTGAGGACGATGCGAGG